GTCAAGTGGTAAAGCTCATGGACTGCGAGGGCCGTATATTACGAAGAAGATATCTGTTTCAAGGGCCCAGCTTCCACCGCGGACAAAGGAAGACGTGCTATAAAAGTGCCTTTTAAACAATTCGGAACAATCACTGATGTTGTCGCGATATGACCACGACTAATACATAACGCCCTAGAGGCTTTCGGGTCATCACGATGATTCTAAGATGCCGCGGATAGGGTATTATTTTAAGACATTCCATAAATTGAAAGGTAGAGGGTTGAGGTCAAGTTTGAGCTATTCCTTTTATGGAACCGTCTCCTAGACCCTGTATGTGCGCCTATCAATGGGTTCAATTATGTAACCTGTAGAACCATTAGCTTCCTTAATGGATATACCCAAAGATTATAATAATGAGTCCATTAGGTGTATATGGAATGAGGATGGATGAATGTTATGGTCTTCATCGCATGGGAACAATGGTTATCCATCTTTTGCGGTTAAGGAATTGAAATGAATTTGATGCATGGATGAACCCATGTATTGAAAGTGGCTCTAGCTTCAATAGTAGGATATCCAAATGGGTGGATGGCATCTTAATCCATATTACAATGGAAATTGTGTGGATTCAACAACTATGTTAGCTATGGTGGAGTCAATGAAAATAATGGTTTACTATTTGACTCACTAGTTCAGAACCCTTGGGGTATTTTTAGCCTTAATCACCTTCTAGTTCCACAAGCTCTAATTTCTTTGTGCCATTTGGAAATGGGGACCTGCTTAGTGGAATTGGGAACAATAATGTGAATTGGGGAAACCTCATCATGTGCCTGCTTCTAAAGGTGCCATAATTGCTTTGTTTGTTGCATACTAGAAACTTCTTGGTTATGGGTCTAGTGGAACCAACTTTGATCAAGGTTCCAGTTATTTATGGAAGGAATGTTGGATTAAGTGGTGTCAAGAATCTTAAACCAATCAACCAATGGGTACATGCAAGGAACTTTGAGATTCATCAATAGGTGGTGGCTCCATCTATGGAGACACAACTTCAAGACCTGGATCTTTGAGCATGATGTTAAAATGGTTAGATAGTTTGTTTTTAAGTGTCATGATATCATCATCCGCTTTCAACACTTCATTAATTTATTTTGATAGTTTTCAATTATTAGATCCAAGCATCTTGACAATGTTAGTGTGCAATGTCCATTGAACTTGGGCTGCATTTTACTTAATGCATCCAAGATTTGGTTTTGGATCTTTTTAGTTGTTTTTTCTTTGTGATCCTAGGCCTCCTTTATGGTTCCAAAATCACTAACTATGTTAAATGTTCTCTAAGATTATTCCTTGTATATGTGCGTAATGAGAAGAGTTTGTTTCAATTTATGTATATGATTGCCCTTTGTTTGGTGCACATGATGGTGTGTGAACTGATTGAGTTTACTTTGCAGTTGGTAAATGAGTAAATCTAATATGATGTGGTATATGTGAAACCTGGGCTGATTTGAATGTAGAATACTTTTGTGATTGCCCACTCTTTTGGATCGACATAGCTTATTAGTTACTTCTCCATTCCAAATTATAAGTCAACTGGCTTTTCTAGGTAGTTATAGCTTTTTACTACGCACCTAGATATCCATTATGTCTAGATACACAGTAAACCTTTTTGTATCTAAGAAAGTCAAAATGACTTCAATTTGGAACGGTGGGAGTACTTGTTTTGAGGCCTTTATCTTTATGGGACATAGATCTATATTTTGTTCTTTTTTGTAAAGCGATGGTAATAATTATTCTTTTTCTCGATTGTGGACTTCTAATGTGTCTAAACTTATAATGATTTTACAAACTTATAATGCTCTTGTGCCTCATTGCATTATAGACTTGATCAACTATTCCTTTAAGCTTATTTCATATGCAAATATCAATTGCTCGTTGTTCACATGTAATCCACACCAAGGAAGCCACAACTTTATTTGGGTGTTTTATCATGCTACGCCGGTTTGTATTATTTACTAATAATGACATCTTTTGCTTGTGTAGGAATAATGCTGCCAAGGAATCTTTTCACATATAACATTTGTCATAATAGTTGAAGAGAGGAGTGGAGGTGCTCAAGTGCAAATTTTGAACCTCACATGTAGAGCTAGGCGGGGGATCAAACCGAAGTTTAAGGAAATATATATCCTCAGATGACCCTTTTCTTTAAGGGGATTTATGTTTTATGTAAGATTATGATTGTGGATTTCTACAAGGATAAAGCTTTTAGGTTTATGCAACTTTTTGGGATGATATAATGTCAGCTTAAGTTTGCAGAATAATGTTCATTTGTATGGTAGTGTTTCACCCTCGTGAGCAGAACCTAGCCCCCCTGTTGGCTTTTTGTTGCTATAGTAGAGAAAGCTAGTCTAGTATATGTGTATCAAAGGATGATTAGTTTTTACCTCTTCTCAAGTTTTAATCCTATCTTACTTCAGAAGTGTATGTACCAAATGTCTGGTCTATGCTTTTTCTCTACTTTTTGAGGGGGTGTCCCTTTAGGCCTCGTAAAATACTACTACTAAATATACTTCGTTCATTTCCATGAAATTTTTAGGCTATTTTTCAATTGTAATCGAACATTTAGGTATTATAATCTTCATGTAATTCACTAATTAGACAATGTGATGCTTCTATTTTAGATCTCTATCATTTTAAGGGAGAGTGGATGGTGTGAGGTTCCCCTTTCATTGCCCATTTTCCCATAATTCACCTCCCATAGAGCTTGCCGCCAACCCATCCCTCACCGCTTCTTTGTAACGCTGGACTTAAAACCATGGGTGGTATTCTTTATGGAAAAAGAATGCTTGTAGTCCTTTGTGATTTAGTATTTCCTCACCTCATTAGAAGAAAAAATGTTATTCTAAGTTGCATAACACAGTAGGACTTAGAATTTGGATGCACAACAACCTCAGATAGTTGTACCATATGGTTGGAAAATAGAAGATAGTTGAGGTTAGTTGAGACAATAAACACAAAAAGGATATAGATAGTTGGAAGACAGCCAGACAAGACTAGGTTCCTAAATCATCCTTTCATTACTAATAAAACTAAGCAAAGGATACTGAGCTAGTATCATCCAAAAAAAGGCAAGATAACTCTAATCTACTTTACTTCCTTTAGGACTCTAACAATGGATTTGCTCACAACAGAGGAAGGGGAACAAACATGGAAACATTGAAGGTCCAACATTGCCTAGAGTGTACCATGGTGGAATGCAAAGGATGGGCTGATTGTCACCACAACCATTTACTTATGTCTTACTACCACATAAGTGGCTATCACTACCAGCTACAACATTGTCGGTTGATTCAAAACTGCAAGTGCAAAGTTCTCGTTTCTTTTTCATTTGAAACTAGCAGTGATAACTCATTGTTACTGTAGGTTGCTTTAAAAGCCACAAAGATAATTCATTGTCACTATTGGTTATCATTAAACACTGGTGGTGGTGATAGCACTAAAAGATGGGGTTTGGACCCAACATTTTTATTCAAGTTAGTTTTTAACCATTCATGTATGCAGCTTATCAAATCACGCTCGTGCTCATCCACGCTTCCTCTCCATAGTTCTCCTATCTCCACTCCATCCATGTCTCTCCACGGCCCCTCTCCTCCCTTCGTCGCCATCCCTCCCTTCCCAACGCGCCACCTTCCTCAAATCGACAATGGTAAGGCAGCATAGAGGTCCGAAAGCTCAGGATCCTCACCACTCCTCCTCTCACCCTTCCCTGCCTTCTATGAAGCAGTCGCACATGGATCCTCTTTCATGGATATGTGGTCGCCTTTATTTTTAAAAACTTTTCACAACAAAAACATGATATGCAACCAATAAGAACAGAACATGCATTTAACACTCAATGCATTTATCCTGGTTGCATCTCATATTTTTCTATTGTAGAAGGTTTTCAAAAACATTTAGACATCGATTATAATGTTTTGGGAATTTACCAAATTGTTTGATATTTTTTCCATTTGCCTAGAGCTAAATCTAGTTTTTAGAAACTTTTAGATATACTTTCATGAGCTCTAAATATTTATTTGGATTTGTCATGACCCCATCAATCTTTTGGATTTTCATGTCCCATATGGTTTGATCCATTTGTCGTGGTTTAAAAACACTATCAAGTATTACTGGATTTTTTTTAACTATAAAAATGATGAAACCGTTTAGTTGAGGAAGAAAGATGTTCGATTTTAGAGTTTGATGAGCAGAAAAGTCAGATCATGATTTTCACAAAGGTAAAACAGACTGTTTTCAAGAAACAATCGTACACATTGATATGCTCTCAAATAGTACGCCACATTGGGCTGACAAAATACTAAGCAACCAAAGGCAGCCAAGCCGGAGCGGGTGGGTGGAGGATTCTCCGTTTCAGTCTTCCAGCAGCCTCGCATCCATTTGTTGACCGCTATATCTGAAAACTTATCTGCAATGGTGGTGCCTCGATCGCTGAATTCGCAATGGGAAGCGTTGCAGCAGCTGCTTTTTCTTTTTCTTTTCCTTGATCTGGCAGGCATGACATATTGACATAGGAACTAGAAACTTTTGGGTCTTTTCAGGATTCTTTCTCATCTTTGAGGATCCTGCTTTTCATCACAAAACACTTCTATTGCTTTTTCAGAACACAGAGCATCCTGTATCCTTTGCTTTTCATCACAGATACAACATTCAATACACCCAGCAGTGCGTTCACAATCCCCACACAACCACATATTGTGATGACTGATGAGTGACAGACAAGGTGCACAACTACATGGATTAAAGATGCAAGCTTTACTGATAAATGAACTAGTTAAAGGCTTCCAGAATATGTCTGACAGGGCAAATGTACCAACATCAAGTTCATGTTCCTCTGCCCAAAAGAGAGGGGGGAAAATAAACTCCTACGATTCTTTCCCTGCATACAAATACAAGAGGAGCAGAGCATCCTATTTGAGAGCATATCAATGTCTGGAATTTGGTGCTGTATATATTAATATATGAATTCAATCTGCAACCCTTTTGAAGGACGGCCATAATAAACCCCAGCATCTCATCTCCAACTCTCCATTTTCATTCCTTCTTGACCGTTTCAGAGTCAGCCTTTGGCTGAGCTCGACCACCAGCCTGGGAGAACATGATGAAGACATGCATGACCCCCTGTCACAAGTGCCATCCCTGCAGCAGTGAATGCTGCACCTCCATGTCGATAGGAGCTGTGTCCACTGGAAGAACTTGATGGCACCAAACAACAGGAGGAATGACCAAAACAGGGTCACCTGGTCCATCAGCGGAATAGAAAAGTCAGCAGCCAGAAGACATATCAATACATTTAGGATGCACATCTGTAAAAACAAATTCATTGAGCTATGGAATGGGCAACAGATTCAACTATTTAAGTACCAAGGAAGAGCTCCCCTGCTGCAATGCAACAACAGCCAGAGGTTTCACAAGGTAGTACTCCTAAATAAGATATAGCACAGCACAGTGACCACTCCCGGCGTTTTAACCCCAAAACATGGCCACCACTGTCCCCCACAACTGCCAATTGAGTATGGGACACAAACTAATATGTGATCATTCTGATGCAAACACACGACCTTTCTCTTCAGCTCACTCAAAACAGATGTCCAACAACAACAACAATAAAGTTTTTAAGTCCCAAACAAGTTGGGGTAGGCTAGAGTTGAAACCCATCAGAAGCTCAAAACAGATGTCCCACTTCATATTTAGTATTTTCAATCTCAGAAATTGGCCAGCGAAGATGGGGAATCAACAAATTCCTAATACTGGTACTTTGTTTGCTTGGTTCTGCAAGATCATGAGTTGAGAACATCAAGATTCTACATGACACTTGATTGACTTATGTAACCTGGCTCACTGGCAAAAGGACACTAGTACAACTCTGTTTTCTAACAAGATTTACACAAAAACACCAATTGCCCATGACAGTAAGACCAGCTTTTTCTTATTCAGCAAAGACAATAATCATCGAGCAGATTAGAGGGTGCCACTGCCACTGAGGCAGTAACATGCAATTTTAGTGGGTCTTACCAGCAATGATTTCACTGGACGGCCAATAGGTCTAATCTCCTCATCGAAAGTGCCTGTTGCCAAATGCTTGTCCAGTAAGGCATCCTGAAATGAAAAACGGGCAAATAGTATTTACTTAAAAATATATTTTTTTTGTGAGTTCTACTTTAAAAACTAATTGATCAAACCATATATGGAGCATTTTACTTTTCAACAAGATCTAATCAGAAGACATCTAAAAAAATAGCGTTATATAGTTCAGTACCTTTGCCACAAAATGTCTTTGCACCATTTTGAAACATCCTCATCTGATTTTGGCATCTCACTCATTGCATGCATGCTTCATGCGGACATGTATCTAGAGAGGAAAAAAAGTAGTACATTAGTTGACATAACAGTAAGTAGTTCGGCACTGAAATTCCACGCCATATTATATATTTGTATCCAATTTCATAAGACACTTTAGTAAAATCAATTCATTTCAGTGCTCAGTTGACACAAAACTCTTTCTGTATTGGTCTGCCTTGAGTTATTCATGAAGTTAGAAAACTTACCACTGATGATTGCCCTTCAAAATTCGCAGCATTGTTGGTTGAGGTGAATCTTTAGGAACAATTACAGTTGTATCATAAATGGCTGGAACAAAATCTCGATAATACTTACGGCAGATACAAATCCCTGGGATTTTTTTTTTTTTCACAGGAGGTATTAGTACATAACTTTATTGCTCAAACATGTGAAAATGGCATCAGAATACTAGGTCCATCCCAAATTATAAGACATGACTTTTTTGACCCTAAGTTTGACCACTGTTTTATTCAAAAAATTTGTGCAAACATAGTCAAATTTAAGTCATTCTTGAAGAACTTTTTATTAATAAAGCAAGCCACGACATAAAAGAAGTGATATTTTACACAAATTTTTGAATAAGACGAGTGGTCAAACTTGGTGTCAAAAAAGTCAAACGTCTTATAATTTGGGATGGAGGAGTACATGAGTAAAACCTATGATATAACCATAATTTCTCAGTAGTTATTATACAAAATTGTCATCAACAGATCTCTCAGGCATTCCATAAAATCAAGACAAGTACTCAGTATTTGTTACTCTATGTGATACAGCCATTTATTCCCAATAACCCTAATCTGAAGTGTCGTGGTTAGAACCTCATGATTAGTGATTTAACTTTATGATTGTAAATTGTTACTGTGTCATCAAGGTACAAAAATCTGCATTTTTCCTTTCAGGTTTGCACATATAAGAAAAATGGAGCGTTGCCACCAATGTCATTACTTCTACATGCACACATGCACATATATGATGCAGAAAATTGCTAAAAGTTATCACTTTATACAAATCACGTATGAACATTATGTTCAACAGGTGTATTTTGTGAACAAACTAATAAAAAGTAAAGTAAAATCATGTGAACAGTATAGTTTTCCAGGGTATGCCAAGTTATACTTAAAAATTAGAATCTCATCTAGACTAAATCAGTAAAACAAAAGTATAGCATAGGAAAAGATACTGAACATTTGCAATGTCAGAATCATGCAAGTGAGGGAACAACGAAGTACCTTGGTACGTGGAATAAGTACATTTCTAGGAGCCGGTAAGTCCTGGAAGCTGCATACCCTGAGCTGCGAGAAGCTTTGCTGGAGTAAAGCGGGTACCTCAACGAAAAGAGCTAGCCAAAATGGTCTAGGGAAGTCTTTCAACCTTTGGAGACCCCACTGTATGCAAAATTAAAAAGCTCACTATGTGAAAAAGGAAAACTAGGATGCATTGTACAGGTAAGGTGGGGAGTTACCTTTTAGTGTCTTTTTTCATCCTTGGCCCAGCTCCTTCCAAAAAAGAGGTACTCTGCAAAACCACATCGACCAGCCAATAACCTGCAAAAAAATGAGCAAAGCGGTTTATAGAATACCAAAGCATGTGCCAGAACATCTACTATAGAAGAAAGGGTAATAGTTAACTCAGGTTCCATCAATTCAAGTGGACCTTTCTTTTTCTCACAACGCAGGAGAGCTGTGTGTCATTTCATATATAAGAGAGAATGTACAAAAGGAGAGGCCAAAGAAGCCCTCCTAAATACACTGAACACACAGACTGCAACTGGCACGCTTTTGTTTTTTAGCTGCTACCGCACAAAAGCCTTATAAGTACTATATAACATAAATAACAGGTAAGCTCCACATAACTGAAACTAATCATGGCAATTTATTTCCTTTTCATTACCTAATTGTTGTGGTCCTTGCTCTGTCATTCTATTTCCAGATCTACCTACCACTCCATATTGGGCAACTTTCTGAGAAGGTGCTCATAGCATGGTGGTAGTAAAACTTCTCAGGTGTAAGGCTACCAACCAGGGCTTGACCCCCCTTGTTCTCACAAAAAAAGGCCCCTCACTGTGTGTTCCCCCATGATCGTGGCACTATTGCCAAAGCCCGCAATTATTACAGTGAGAACATGACAAAGCAATGTAGCATTATGATTTTTTGAAACTAGATAAACAAGTCTATACCCAAAAATATTTTTTTTTATGTTGCTTACTTATGCCACAAATAGTTTTTTTTAAACCTACATTAAATCAACAGAACTCCGATGTGAATATAAATTGTAAAACTACATGTTACAGAAATATACATATGAACTAACTCACTGGAAGGAACTTGGATGACTTCTTCATCACAGCAAGCGCACTTCCAAGGCACCCTGAGCGCTGAACACATGCCCAGAAAACAGGAGTCTCATATTATTCATCAGTTAATCCAAATAAACCTAAACAGTGTGAACTGTGAGCAAACTAAATTTCTAACAACTATCCAGAAGTTGGGAGATAACAACCTGGGCCAATATCCATCCAATAAGCCAATCAATATCACTCCGATGATTTGATATGATGAGTGCATGCTCTTTACCTGTGAAATTATTCAGATAAGCTTGTAATCCAAACTTTTTTCCTTAAGCTTGCATGAAGGAGAATGCAAACAATGAACCTATTAATAAAAGGCTCCTTACCCATTGACCGGTAAGTTTCCTCATCTGCATGCAGTTGTACCTGCAGAACATAAGCTGAAGTTATTCTGGGATCAGGAGGAAAAAAACAATGCTTGCTTCATAAACATCACTCAAACATGAAGTTTGTATGCTACGTGCTAAAGAAGTATGTTCATTTAGATCCGCTGATGAAAAAGGTAGAAAAAACATCCTCAATTAGCAATTCAATTGATACACATTTAAGCCATTTATATAAAAAAAATGTTACTCATCAGAATTTGTTTCTTTTCCATAGTTCGTCTAATTTACTGCCACAATTATGCAAGATAAAAAATTAACTATCTTTCCTTCTTAGTTTGACAAGCCAGACCATTAACCACCCCAACAATACTGGAAATTCATACACAATATGATTATATGACTAACTTTCTAATTTCTCGTGCATATGCAACAAAAAGCTCACCAAAGTAACATTTCAATGATTCAATCCATGCAAATATTCCAAATAGAATCTTCACAAACATCACACTCAACTCTAGCCAACATAGGTTGTCAATCTCTATCAGTGTCCCTACTAGTATTGCCGACATTGCTTTTTACAACTTTGTTTTATGAACGTGATGTGTGGGTCCTAAACTCTTGAAACTTCTTTTGCTTACTTTATTTAGTTTGGAATATCCATCTACCAGATTCAGTTACGATGCAACACTGAAAACAGCTATTTAACTCAGCTTGTTCATTAGTACCACGTACTTCCATTGAAGAACATTTCAAAAACACATCGTATGACACTACAAGAAAGGTTGAATATAGCAAACCAACAGAATGCTGCAACTTGCAGGCACAAATGTAAGTTTGAGTTCTGATACTGAAGGAGGACACGTTACAAATCAATCTTTCTACTAGAAATGAAATGCGAAAATAAAATTGCTTTGGTGCTGGTCATATCTGCGTGTACCTTAACACCTGCCCACCAGTCCACCACCCAGACAAGCTGAAGCCACAGCAGCTCGGCCAAGAATCTGTTGATCCGGCGGTAGAAGCTCTTCGAAAAGGGCCTTATTGTCACAAATAGGATGGCCTGAAATTTCCACGCGCACATACAAACGGATCAAAGAAAGCTTAACACATTTGGAAGTTATGGGTGTATAGTACCCCGTTCGTGGCCGCAGTCAAATGGAAGTAGTAAATTTATTTTACAAAAAGCGGCAATTATAACGAAATTTAACAAATCGACATGAAGCTTTCCATCTAAAAGACACATCTTTGAGTAAAATTCGCCTGGAACCATCGGGACAAAATAAATCACATGGGGAAACTGTAAATCTTTAACGCACATCAGCTGGAATTACCCTACACCGCGCGACAATCATCATTCATGAAGCGAACAAACTAAAATGTCCGTGGCGACACCTTCGAAGGAAAGGAAACAAAATAGAATCTTTTGCTCAGCCGCCGCATCAGATCACCCCAGGCGCCGCCGAAAAGGAACACAAATCGAGCTGGGCGGCCCCGGTGGGGAGGGAGGAGGGCGCGGGTACCTGGATGGTGTTGACTATGAGGCCGGACAGGAGGAAGAGCAGGCCAAGCGGGAGCACGACGAGCACGAGCGGGACCGCCATGGCCCCCCGGCGCCGGCGCCGGCGCTTCCGATCTCGGAGGGGTCGCTCAGATGGGAGGCGGCAGTGGAATAGCTCCCCGCGGCGCTCCTTCTCCGGCGATAGGTGGCTCTGGGCGGCGGTGCGAGGTGGCAGGCTCCGCCGGCGACGAGGACGACGGGGCACGCGAGGCTGATTCGGAGGTTTTTTATTGTAGGGAGGCGGTGGATGGACGAGCGCTGGTGGGAGGAAGGGAGGACGGAGGAGGTGGAGGAGTAAAGCGGATGGATGCGTCCATGGGTGGCATTGGCCGAAAAAAAAATTTAAGCCCTTTTTTTTAAAAAAAAATCAGATGTATCCTTGAGGCATGATTTTAAAATCTGGACCCCAGCTCGGTGACATCGCCGCCATCGCTGCTTAAGACCGAGCCTTTCGGCCAACGCAGACATTTGGCGGAGGACTTGGCGCCAAACCCGGGCCAGATCTTGACGCCGAGCTTGACGACATGGTTATCTACGCAAGCTCGGCTTCACGATGGTCTCTCCTTCCTTTCTATTCCTCTCTCACAAGACCGAACCAAATAAGATCACAAGACTACCACCACCATGCTTGCCCTCACAAGACCGAACTGTCAGATCGAATCACAAATCAGACCTCACTACCATTTCATTGGCCACATGGAAAGCCGGCCGTCTCAAGGCCACAAGAAATTTCTCTACCAAGGCCGCCGTCTGGGTCTGGCTCCGCTCGCCAGGTGTCCGCCACAAGATAGGGCGCCTCCTTCGGTGACCTCGGCGCGACACTCGCCCATTCCGGGAGTACGATGACAAAGAAGTGATTTATCACTTCACTTATATAGTACACCTATAGCATCTAGGTTTTTCAAAGTGATTTATCATGTTAATGACTTAATAGACTTTTTTTAGAAAACTAATCTAGGTTTTTACAAAGGTCCATTGAAATAGGCTCTTCAATGAAACTAATTAGGCTTCTTATGACCATTATAACACATTGAAACGATAACTAAACATGCCTCTCGCTTATATATACGTTATGAATGCTAGATGCATTGTTACTTACTTCCCAACTAGTATTTTCTTTCGTTGCAGTACCAATATCTGGAGGGTCGTCCAAAGGAAGAAGAAAGAGGAAGGGAACTACCATTGTGTGGAAGGGTTCTCTTGGTTCTGATTTCTTTAAAAAAGCTCTTTATGAGAGGTTCCCAATTTAGAGCAAAAGTGATTTCATCAAAGAAGCACCACTGAGAGGATACGATGAACAAAAAGAAGAGTGGCCAAAATACATGCATGGTGAGGACTGCCTAGTGCAGATGTTCACCGAGGGAATAGATGGAGGTCGTTGTTTCTTCAAATGCCCACGAGCATGGGTAATTGCTATTACTATTTGTTTCTTCAATATATTCCTCTTCTATACAACTTACATGACATACTTATTGCAGTCTTCCTTGGTCGAAGAAAACTATGGGTTCACTAGGTGGGTCGATCATTTACCTATTTATCCAAGACAATGGAGTACATCTCGCTACCTGCAGAACCGTATCTTCGATCTAGAAAGGGAAGTTATGTTGTTACAAGGATTTATTTAACTGTATGCACAACAATAATAGTGCCGATTCATTGTGGAGGTACTCAGAATGATCAACATTGCACCCGCCCTAACCACAAGAACAAGGGGCCTCCGCCGCCACCCCCGCCGCCACCACCACCAACAATGGGAGACTACTATGGAGAAGGTGCAACACAATTTGCTATGTGGCCACACTACTAGGACGACCCTATCTTATTCACATGACACATCCATGTGTTTGTTGTTTGGTTTAATTATCTAAGTCATATTAGGTTTAGTTGAAGGAATTTATACCCTAGTTCTAAGACATGTCCTCACATGCCATTTCATGTGTTTTGTGTGTTGAATTATATAATGCCCTACTGTTAGGGTTTTGTTTTAAAAGACGTGATCATATTTCACTACGTCCGCAATATTATACTGAATATTATGACCACAAATAATGAAAACAACTACATAATGAAAAATCCAATACTATGCCACATTAAACAACATAATAATACAAGAAGTACGTACCGACAGTAGACAACATTGTTTATGAATAAACCATAGAACTAGCAAGTCATGGAGACTACTGAGTGCAACAAGACCATTTTCCCTTCCTTAGGGCATCGGGATTCTCCTCCATCACGCTGCTTTTCTGCAAGGCACGCCAAGCTTCTTCTCCCTCTCCTCCCCTCGTGACGCAAAGAACATGCCTCCTTTCTCCTCTTCCTTGTGCTCCTTTTTATAGCCTTCCCTTCGCGTCTCTTCTCTATTATCTCCTTGTCCTCTGCCTCCCACCGCAATAGTTTCTGCATCCATTCCATGTCTTCAGGCTTGATCTCAGTGTCGATCCACTGCTCAAAATCACAGAGCGGTGGAGGGGTCTGCAAAAAATATAATTGTTACAAAACAAAAAAATCATACAAGATATCATATGACAAACATCAAATCCTCACCATCTTGTTAATGAGCGCGCTGACGAAGTGTAGGCTTAAACGCAAAATTAAAACACATCCATTACCTCTGTCTATACGTATCATCTTTATCGGATTTGGCTACCTTACAAGGATCGCCGCACAAGCACATGGGCACTGGAACACCACTAGGCAGAGGGCAATGGGTCGAAGGCATTTTCGGTCATCCAGACATAACTACAATTCAACCAATTTCGTTGTAAGAACCAAAAGCAATTAACATTAAACCCTAAACCTAGGGTTTCCCATTTGATGCACAACAATGAACCCATAACATAATAACATGCGCTGAGGTTATCTTCGTTTGCTAGCTTTTTCATGCCTTGGCATCCTATTATTGTATAATACAAATATTAAAAATTGCATGAAACCCTAAGTAACGACGATTCTTAGGTTGAAAAATCCGACTAATATATACCGAATCGATGCAAAAAAACTAGGAAGGGAGCGATGATACCTTGCTCTCGAAGATCTACGGATCAAATCAAAGTTTCTAAGATCTAATATGTCGATTCGTGAGGTAGGACGAAGTGGAAAGAGAAAAAATTCGAGAGGGAGGAGAAAGAAGAGGAAGAAGGCTCGGGCAGGAAGGTCGGAGGCCGGGTTAAAACACCACCTCGGCGCCATAGATATTGGCATTAGGCTCGCCGTCAAGATCTCAGGCTACCAAACTCAAGGCCTGTGGATCTACAACGCCAAGTCGCACTCGCCAAGTCACCGCCACGTCTGCGTCGAGCCCAAGACCTCGGCGCCAGCAACGATGGCACTGAGACGTGTAAGCTCGACGCCACCAACGATGGCGCCAAGCTAAGGGTCCAGATTTTGAAATCATACCTCCAGAGGCATATTTGTGATTTTTTTTAAAAAAAAGGGCTTAAAAATAAAAAAGTTGGTGGCATTGGTAGCATGGGAGGATGGTGTGCCAGTGCCACGTCGGACAACGCATTTTCTGTGTTTCGGATGAAATGTTTTCGTCTCTTTTTTTCGTTTTTACTTTTTTTTAGAAAATTTTCTTTTTTACTTTTTTTACAACAACTCTTAATATATAACGTTAAAGCACTTTACACCGGTGTGAGAAAAGAATTCCTAGATTATAGAAAAAACTACTGCTGAACTGCTTCTGTAGGGTGATGCTTCTGTCGGGGGCGTGGGGCCGTCGGGGCCATAGGGCCCACGAGAAGTGCCCACGACAGAAACATCAAGGGTCCTCGTTCTCGCACTCCGATAGAACAGTCGACGCTCCTCTCGACTGTCTGATCGGCTTATGTCTTCAAAGATAATTAGTCTTGAGCCGTAGATAGAATGGAGACTTCACTGGACTCAAGAAAATAGATCCACATCATCAACTGACGTTGGCGGTCAACCAAACACTACTAGCTGCTTCACCACCTCCATGTCTGTAGAGGAACAAAAAAGCAGGAAGATGAAAAACGAAAAGATGCTCTGCATGCCGCATTACATGCCATCCAAATTGAAAGAGAGCGAGAGACGTAGAGGCACTGCCTTGGCCCTGTTTTCTTAAACTTATCAGTCGTACCATTTTAGCAAAACAATAGTATTTTTCTCTCACAATAAATCAACATCAACCATAGCTGTTTTTCCAGCCAACAACAGAGCCGAGAAGGACATCAGAACCAGCTGCATGTGGAGCACGTAGCAATTGCAGGCCCCACAGCACAGTAGCTGGGACCCACCCTGGAGTACAGGAGAACCGAAAGGAATCCCAAGCGAAACAACAAGGCTTGCTCCAAAAACCACCGCTCGCCTCCTGCCCTCCACCGGCGGGCCAGCATCGTCGCCGGTCTGCAGCAGACGCTCGCAGGCAAGCAGTGCCTAGATTCGGACAGTGCCGGCTCAGGGCGAGGCCACCAGGCTGAAGGCTCAAGAGGCGTGACCCTGAATGCCGCAAGATGAGTCGCCACCGGGTGCGCCGGAGGGGATCTGGATGTTGGGGTTGCTAGGAAAGGGAAGGGAAGGGAGAAGAACAGGCAGAGCGCCTCTAGCTCACAACGGAGACTCCCATTTTTCGTTTTTACTTTGGTAACGTAGAACCATGAAAGAACCTCCGCTTAAGAAGAATGGTGATTACTAATGGTGCAATGTGATCCCCATTAATTTCATTGATTTTTTTAAAGTTAATAGGACATGGCTAAAAAACGGACGACCGTGTGTGTTAGGCGACGCGTACGGCTGCCTTCTTCCTCGTGCCACCAGCTCTCTCTCCGGCGCCCCTCCTCCTCTCCCGTGCCCCTCTTCCCGCCGCCTCCCACCGTCCCACCGCGACGTACTAGGATTTTGCCGGAGCTCCGCGGCCACAGCCTAACACACCCGCCAAAGCCCCTAAACCGCCATGTCGCCATTCCAACCACTACTACAAAATTCAATTTTATGCAGCTGTCATTCCAAGGTCTCCGTGGCGGGCTTTATTTTTGTCCGGCCACAAGAAATCCCACGATTTATCACAAGGGCACTTTTTAT